AATAGTATTACTATTGTAAAGACTCCATAAAATATTAACATATTTTATGATTGTTTATAAATTTTATATTTTTAAAACAAATTTAATTCGAAAGGAAATAAATATATTTAATTAATCTTCAATAAACTATTTGCCCAGGAAAATGTCCTGCATAACTTTATGTTCATAGCAAAATGTTCATGAGATAAGAAATAAAAATATTGAACTAGTAGCATACACTCCCCACTTTACTTCAAATTTTACCGAATTTTTCGATCAAATTTGTAAAATGATCCGGTACTTTTTCTCTCGAAAGAAAGGCTTCCGAATACATAAAGATAATTCAGTTTCTTAGGAAAATGTTTGTGTTATTTATCCTTTAATGAGCTTATTGAAAAATAAATGTAGACTTGACTTTTATTTTTATGCAGATTTAATATTAATTATAATTTATTAAGGTAATTCTGCTTAGAAGTTGTACATGTTAAAAGAAGATGAAAAATCAATACTGATATTCTTTTATACATTTTATAGGATTTTTTTTCAAAGGACTGTTGAGTGTCTGGTTATTTATACAGAGGATCTATAAACGTAACAAATTCTGATCTACCATGTTAAGTATGGGATACACAGAGCACCTTTCTGCACCCCAAAAATATCAACAAAATCATTTGAACCTACAGTCAATTTTTTTTATTTCAAGCAGTAATCTTATGTATTAAGATATAAAAAGAAAATTAATTTTGCCCACCGTGATGTTATTTCTTCGATATTACTACATTACGTAATTTTTTCAAAAGTTTAAATTGGATATTTTAACTCTACTGGTCAAAGACAAGAAGAGCTTATGCGATAGTTGTGTGACCTCGCCCGTCTGCCCATATCTGTCTATCTAGCTGTCTGCATTTTTGTCTGTCCGTCTGTCTGTATGTAGTTGTGGATAAGAGATGGGCGGACGGACTTCCCCATTACTATACACTCTTCCTTTTTTGAGCAGGGGTATAATAATACTAGAATGAAACATGTACACAATACGAGGGCTGTTCAAAAATTACGCGGACTTGTTGCACAGAAAAAATATTTGACGACATAATCCGGCAAAATGTCACAAATAATATAAAAGAATCTTTACGTGTAAGGTCTTCAAAATATCATATCAAAATGATGTAAATTGGTATAAATTTTGAATAATTTTTCAGGACATATCATTAAGTCACGGGGCAGCAAAATCTTCGACGTCACAGGCATTATAAAAAAATGTGTTATTGAGCTTTCATTTTCTCAATATTTTCCCAAGAGTTCCTGTACAGTTTGAGTTACCTTATCTACTCAACATCCAAACACCATTTCTTGTCAAGCTTCAAATCTATTAAACAAATAAAGAATATTCTTTTTTTGTTTTAAAACCAAAAACTGCAGGTATTTATGAGATATAGTGTGATATTGGTGACTCTCAATCACGTTTTTTACAGTTCGGATAAAGTTTTCGTCGATAATCTTCTCCCCTTCATTTCGTATTTCCTTTTTACAGAGGTCTAACGGTCTAAAATTTAAATTTGCTATTTGTGGTCGAATGTCACGAATACCCTAGTTTACTATATGTTTTATTATGCATATTTTGGATCTCTGTTAGCGATATCTCGAGCATTACACATAATTTAACAAAAGTGCAGTGCGCCGTCAATTCAAGAGGACGTCATTTTCACAGTCGTTTTAAAGGAAATCGCATCAGAGAAAAATCATTAAGGTCTTCCGTCTTCACGGAAGACCTTATAGTGATTCTATTGTTTCTTATTATTATTATTATTATTTTTCTTATTTTTTTGACTTTCTAATTTTGTGCATGCGATTTCTCGAAGACTACTGGATGGAATTATATGAAATTTTCAGAACAGATGTGTCGTTACATGAATTTTGTATATCCGGGAGATTTTTTGAAAATTCTTATCTGGTGCCAAGTTACGGAACATTTCCTGAAATTAAAATGACATTTTGTCCTCGATTAAACTCAAAAACGGTAAAAGATTTCAACATGAAACTTTCAAGGATTAAAGATCGTGATATATACCATCCAGGACGCGACTCTTCGTTCGTCGTCGGTACTTCCTGTCCTTAGGAGAAGCGAATTAAAAAAATCGCATTTTCTAACTTTTTTGTTTTTCAATATTTTTTATTAATTTTTGGAATGATAATAGAGACTCTTTGATTGATGCTTACTATGTAAGTTGTTTGGATATTGGTTTGTCTGAACTCTAGATATTAATATTTGAAAATCTGAAGCGGGACCAAGATGGCGGCTCTCTCTGTCAACTCCACCATTTCGCGAGTAGGAGTTTATGGAGGCAGCTGAGCGTTTGATTAAACGATTCTGACATAAGGATACATGAAATGTAAAAAACTACTTCGACTCTAACGTAGTAGTGAAATGGTTGGAGGAGTGACCTCCCGTTACTTGTTTATATTATAATAGATAATCAATGTAAATATTGTAATTAATTGGTCAATTGACAAAAGAATTATACAAGCTTTATTGATAAATGATGTTCTGTTAGAAAATAATAATAGTGTTGCCAAAAGAAAGGCAGTCTGTAGTATTTTATCGATATGATATCTGATAACTTATGATCATTGATTACGTTGAGGTACAAGGGGGCAGTACAGCCAATTGGCTTGTGTCTTCACTTTGGTATAGAAACCAATTAGTGTATCAATCGAATGGAATTGTGCAAAGTTGCCGGAGTCAGTGACTATGTTAAATATAGCTTTGAGACGTTAGCTATATGTTTGTCATTAGGACAGAGAAGCTCTTACAAAGTTAAATACTGTGTAAGTATTTTGTAGCTACTTGGCTAGAGTTATATAGGCAACTTGGTAAGCAGTAAGACACCAGGCAGGTGTTAAAGGCTAAATCAAGAGGCACCAGGCAGGTGGCTGTTGACTTATATAGTCAGTTGTATGGTGAGGCAATTGTCATATGGCACCAGGCAGGTGCCGGTATTAACTGAAGATATATAAATGTACAAAGCACTTAGGACATTTAATTGAAAGACACCAGGCAGGTGTAATATCATTATCTGTAAATATTGCATTCAATCATATCCCCAGTAAAACTCGGTAATCCGAGCACGGACCTACTGACCGCTCAGGTCCGACACATTACAGCAGTACCGTATATACTCGCCTATAAGTCGGATTTTTGGGAGTTAATTTCTGGTCCAAAACTCTATGTCCGACTTATAGGCGAGCTATAAAATGAATGGTTTTATATGAGGTCAGTCCCTATGGTATATAAGCTTTTAAAATACAACCGACTTATAGGCGGAACGACTTATAGGCGAGTATATACGGGTAAGTTGCAGTTGAGTGTCAATCTTAAAACTTAATTTCCGTTTCACTGCTTTAGTATAACTGGGCTAGATACAATATGTAATGTGTATAATGTGTTACATATACTTTCTTAACGTCGAAATAAAATAAAGGCGCTAAGAATGTTTTATTTTTAAAATTTAATTGAAGCTATCATACCTATTTAATAGATCAGTCCAAAGAAAAGGCGCGAATATTTACTCGTGGCGTTTGGCGCGAAATTATGAATGTTTTTTATAATTCTTAGACAGGTGAACTGTTGCAAAAGTATACACAAGTATATTTAGAGCAGTACTCTCAATAGCTTAATGCTTAGCGCGTTGAGGATAAAAAAGTAAAAAAAAAAAAGCGTATTCACGTTGGCGACATGGGTTCAATCCTTCTTGTGACCAAAATTTTGAATCTCTTTTAAGCTCGATTTTACGTGGGTTTCTTTTCCTAAAACGGACGGAAGACCTCTCGTTGCTCGCAACGAGATCGTTTCTAGTTATATTTCTGTTAGTACTAGTACTTCAAATATCACGTCAGAAATCGAAATGCATAATAATAGAACACTTTTAAGATAAATTTGAGAAAATTGTCGAAAAATATCGCGAATTATAGAAAACTAGTGAGTTAAATTTTGGATTCCGCATCTTTTTGCTTAAGATTTTTTTGTCGTGCTCCGTACCTCTCCATCAGCAATATCAACATACCGATAATTTTAGTAGAATTCTTTTAAAGAACAGAAATTTGCCCAAAATTTATTGGAATCTTTAAGATACATATTTCTGTGAAATTCTATAACTATATGACGTCTATAAGAGTAAATAATAGCACAGTCCGCGTAATTTTTGAACGGCGCCCGTATTTCAGGTCAAAAGTCCATTAGCACTTCAAAAGAAAAGCAAAGCATACACGGATCTACAAAACATCGGGTACCATGGAGGATTGAGCATTCCCTACTGATCAATTACATACACCGTGTGTTCCTTGTCATGATAGGGAAATAACGAGAAACCCGTTGAAAATTCAGTTTGTAAACAAAAGTCAAACAATTATTTTGAAGAAAAAAACATCAACCAGCATTTAATTTCTTTTTCTTCGTACATTAAACTACAATGTTTAATCTCTAAACGTTTGTTGGAAGCTTGCTCCTCAAATGGAAGAAAAAAATGAAAATGATACTTAAAGTGCCATGAAGACAGAAATATTCAAAATTGATATATTTTACCTTCATGAATAGTGTGTGACTAATCCTTTTTAATCTCCACTATTCGGAAAGGTAAAATAAGGGGAATTTTTTTAGTGTCATTCTTTTAATTATGTTCAACTTTTATTTAAAGCTGCTTTTCTCTGTTCATTTTGGTGTGATGAAAGCCATATTTAAAAAAGTACACACCAAGAAACATATTTTTTGTTCTATATCAAAATTTAAAATTAAAGTTAAAATTAGATACTGTACAAAAATTTATTGTAAAAACCTGGTCAGTATGTCTTATATTTCTTCCTGTTGAAAAACACTGTATATCCTTTTTCATGAAAAAAAAAAGATTTAAAGGTGAATCAATTTAGAAACTGTCACATAAGAATGCATTAACAAGCTCTTGGATCCTCGATAATTAGGTTTTTGTCTTGAAGTATAAACATTCGTGCAACGGAAAGACGATTTGAGTCTATTTCAACATAAACTTAATTTGTTTGATAGCTTTTGTTTTCAGTTCAGCAACAAACAAAATGTTATTTTTGTCTATACTAAGACCATATGGTTTTTGTAATCCACAGTTGTCTATACATAGAAGGAATTGTCCATCCTGATCAATTATATGTATGATATTGGCACCACTATCGGCAATTAAAATATGACCCTTTCTGTCTGTGGTAACATCACGAGGAATAAATTTTCCATATTTCTTTGAATGCATTAAAAGAGGGTTTCCATCATACGTGAACCTTAACTGTCCTTCACTGCTTAACACTCTTACCGATTCTGTATGCATATCGCTCAAGATGATGTCAAGGTTTTTATTTTCATGAATGAACGCCAGATGAGATGTTAATATTTTTTTGTTTTTGGTATTTAATTGTATTTCCTGCTTAACAGTAGAGCCAGAAAAACGAGTAATTTTTCTTTTTGTTGGCTTTTCCACTCTGTATTCGGATCTCATAAGTAATAAAAGGTCACCAGTGGAAGTACTGCAGATGGCACCAGGTATCCAGTCTTTTTCCTTGATAAGACATTCCGTCCTGTCACTCTTTACTATGTTGATATTTCTATCCTCCCCGTCAATGTACACCAAATGTCCCTCTCTGGTAACGGTCAAATCAGCTGGTGCAGTTCTTGTTGTTGTTGTAATCTCTTTAAGCAGTTTGCCTTCGGAGTTCATGTGTTTAATTATGTCATGGTTATCACTAAAAAAGAATTGATTAGTGTCAGGAATACAAGCTACATGAGCTCTTGGAAATCTATCATCAGTACATTAACTTCCAACTTCAAGTGACAAAGACGAAATTTCACATGTATGTATGCTTTTTAAGACAAATGATTGTTTAGATTTTAAGACCTCTCCATTAATTAAAGTTTTCTTTGTTTCCGGAATCTCTCCAATTATTTGACACAGAAACGGCTCTGTTAGTTCTCTAAGATTAAACGAAGACACGGTTAATTCAAATCTGGAAGGAAAATTTCGAAATTCTTCGTTTTTGGAAGCGTATCTAACAACTTGGGATAGATCATTTGAAGAAAGGATCGAGTGATTTTTATCTATTGCTGACCGAATTAATGAATGTTTCTTCTGAAAATCTAATTTTAAATTCTGTATTGAGTCGGTATCCTTTCTTTCATTTCTTATTGAATCACGCTGATACTTTTCAAAGACCTTGTCTACTATTGTGTGACATGTTTTACTGAGGTCATGCATAGTTTTTCGTCTTTCATCATGTTTTTCGATTATACTCAATGACATTGCTTCGATTCCAGATACAATTGATTCATAGACAGGCGCAATGTCTGCTTCAAGTTCATCTAAGTCTTTTCTTATGAGAGCTTTTGTTGAGCTATAAATTTTAGAAATTTGTAAGAAAGTGTGTTTTTCATGTGATCCAGACGCAAGACATTTCAAACAAAGTGAAGAGTCACATTCTTCACAAAAGAATTCACATAATACTTCTTGATGGATACTACACTGGTGTGGATTGATTTCAGATTTTTTGAACTCGATGGTAACAACTTCATGTTTTATATTAGGATCGGGGATCATATGGTGACCTACACATTCCTTACAGAGATTGACTTGACAAGTGTTACACACAGTTTCTGCTGTAGATTTTCTAGTTTTTCCAGGGCAAAGTTGACAGCGTTTAACATCTTGTGCTCCAGAGAATAGATCTGACGCTGTTGCCATTTTACAAGTGATAGGTGTACCTTTGTAGACAAGAAAAATGAAAGATGTAAACAACTTTCCACCACAAAAATTGACGGATTGGCTAAAATACTAGGAAATTGATGCATGTATGTCATTTAAACATTAAAAATTGAAAATATATTTTTGTTTTTTCTTACCTTCCTTGTCTGTCACTCGGTTACTCTGAATTAATGTTATTTCAACCTTGGAGATAACAGACCAGAATGACAAGATATTGATCCTGTGTTAGAAAATGATTTAGAGGGCTGATATTTAAATTGATTTAAATGTCTCTCTGTAGCTTGCATTTTAGAAGCTGTGCAAATAAAAAAAAATATCAATACATGCTGCGCTGAGTCTTTTCATATAATATACTTGTTTTTTTGTGTCGTCATATCAAGTTTATTCATCTTTCAAATTGCTTTACACTCCCATTTTTTTTACTTAAACATTTCAAAGATACATATCAAAAGATTTTTATGTGCTTATAAAAATTGCGTTATGTTCGAACATAAATGAAATATAGCCCTGCTGTTCTTTTTAAAAGATATAATCTCTTTTGCCTAAAACAATCATTTTATATTTTAATGATGTGAAAAATTTAGGCTTTTACATAATTTTTTTTATTATTATTATTTTATGTTTCAGAAAATAATGCTCCTTTGCTGGTAGTGAAAAAATGAGATATACAGGTAACTCTTGATGGCTCGAACTTCGATCTCTCGAAGTTCTTGATCGCTCAAAGTGAATCTCTGGTCCCGAATTTTTTCCCTATATAACTAAGCAAATTTACTCTTGATTTCTCGAACGCTTGATCTCTCGAAACCCTTGATCCCTCGAAGTAAAATTGCAGTCCCGTTGTGCATATTCTATTGAAATTTACCCTTGATACCTCGAAGTGGCTATGTGTATACAAAGTTACATAATTAGCAACTCTACCTGGACATTTAATGACCCCAGGCAGAAGACGCGGGTCTCGTGACACGGGATGTTTATTCAGATGACACTTATTTTGCAAGGTGATAATTGACTATAATTAATATTATGGTTCCTATATTCTATCAAAATAATTTTCATCGTCTGTATTACGATAATTCAGACACGTAGTGTCTTTGAAAAATTGTAAAGCAGATTACGAGACGAAACAATGAATTAAATTTTTATTTCAAATCAGTTTCAAAGTTTAACGAAATATGAAAATTCAGAAACAGCCTCGCTGTCAATATGACGAATTTTATTGGACAAATACATACAGAATTTCGATTAATGCACATATTTGGAAAAGTCGCAATGCTATGTACCACGCGACGCTGGTAAAATACCGTTTTCATATAGCGAATGCGTAGAATGCTATCTGTATGATAAAAAAATAATAAACACGAACTGACGATGTACATTTTTTGCTTTACTCAGTTTAATAAATATTTATCAAATATACGAAAATATATCGTTGTTTTGTAAAAATCACGAGTAAAAGGTAAGGACTGCATGAAAATCATTACATCCGGTATGACTGATTTTAAAACCTGTCAAACAAACCTGGGGAAATCCGGACTCTTGAAAACTCGAACTCTTGATCTCTCGAAGTTTTTCCTCGGTCCCGCGGACTTTGAGGTATCAAGAGTTACCTGTAATTGTTAGTATATATAACTAAGGATAGGATTCTTAACAAATTATATGAAGATAAAGGGGCTCTAAAATTTCATTTCCGGATAAATAATCCAGTTATTCCAAAAATAGCCGACAAATATTATGCACTATAGTTTTGAATTAATTGTATTTAAAAAAAAATTCAGTCATGTTGTTTATGAGAATGATTTCACTTCCTTTTTTTGTGTATGTTAATTTCCTGTCAGCATTTCATAAATTTAAGAAAAAGAAGCAAAATGTAGATGAAATAATTTAGAAATAGTGGGAAAATTTTTTTTAAGTCGAATTAAAGACCGTTCTCCCCACATCAGACATTGTAAAGCGTATTAAGTAAATGTGTCTTAAAAATTGTTCCCCGTATCAATAAGACTTAATAATATATATGGATAAAACATGTGTTTTGGGCTTTAAATTGGATTCAATGTATAACACTAAAATAAATGTATAATTTTTAACTATATACCTTCATTTGGTTAAATTTATCTTCTCACGTCTTCGTGTTCTGTATACTCAAGTTGGTTAAAATCATTATCCTTTGGGTAAATAGTAAAGAGACTCACAAAAATACAAAAGAAGACCTTTGCCGTCTATAATTATTAAAATATCCAAACATGAAACGGTTGTTATTAGCTCCTTAATTTGCTATAAATGCTGAAATATTCAAATGATGTATATAAAAGAACACTTTTAATAAAGCTTTAATAATAGAAAGGAAACTTCACAGATAACAAATTAAGCTAAATAAAATTTTATGTTTCATAAAATGTTTTATATACAATCTTTTTTACATTGTGTTTGACTTATTTAAATTAAAATTGCAGTTATTGAATGTTATGTACTGGGGTCGACTGGATCGGGATCGAACTCATGTTTGGATCGGGTTCGGCTTGATCGGGATCGAGTGCTCAATTAATTCAATTTTGCAGAAACACGAGGTGAAGTCGATTTAGATAGAAGATCAAAATTCACGCAAAGCTATATTTTCTATTCCTATGACACCGCCTCAGATGCGTTACCAGTTTGACCAGTTGATTGATTGTGCAATGAATTTGTCTCAATTGATTAGTCGGTATGGAGGTAAAAACTTGATATCCCAAACCGCGCATAATAGTGCAGGTAGGTCAATTCTTCTTTGAAGAGTAGATTTGGTGTTTATAACTGAATGAACCAGATTTGGATAATTCACGGATACATAAACATACATTAAAATTGTTAATTCGAGCCAGGGGCGGCCTCAATACGCGCGAGCTAGCCAGCTCAAGAGAATTCAAGCTGGTCAGCAGACATCCATCCAAGTAGGCGACCATTACAATTAAAGTGATTGACAATAATAAACTTCTACATGATCAATGTCACCAGTTCACCATCAATAATTAATTTGGCACCGATGCAGTTCCTGGAACCCAGATATGAAATACTTGGACAGCAGTCACGACGGATTCACCTCGACCAATGGTTCATGAAGAAGTACCTTCAGAACATCAAAAGTGCTGTCCTCCATGCCTCCCATCTGATTGGATGGGAGAATAAGGATAAGTAGTACATTGCACATATGATGATAGATTGTTATGCATCAGTGTTTTCCTTTTATTTCAAAGTAAAGAGTTAGAGATCAGTCGTAAAGTCTAGGGTATGAGGTTTATGAACAAAATCTCTGTGGACCTTAGAACAAATTGTTATTTCAAAGCGGCATTTTTGTCAATTGAAGTGGTCAATTTGGCCGGTTGCCGTTTCTAAGGGAAAACACTGAATGCATGTGATAAAATTCATGGCAAATGCCGCAATATGTCATGTCAATGTAAACCTCGACATGTTTCTGCACATTATATTACCTGATTTCATGATTTGCTGTCAGTTTCAGTATTGGTCAATTTTGGGAATCACCAATGGATTACATCATATGTATGTGAAGGCATACATATGAATATGACATTATTTTAGTGCTTATAAAATTTCAATGTGAAACTTGACATGTTCTGCACATTATATTACCTGATTTCATAATTTGCTCTCAGTGTCAGTATTGGTCAATTTTGGGAATCACCAATGAATTCCATCATATGTATGTGAATACGTACAAATGAATATTACATTATTCTAGTGCTTATTAAATTTCAATGTGAAACTTGATATGTTTCTGCAAATTATGTTTCCTGATTTCATAATTTACTGTCAGTGTCAGTATTGGTCAAATTTGGGAATCACCAATGGATTCCATCAAATGTAATTGAAGGCTCCAGTTTGTTTTTCTTAATCTTCCCAATATCCGATGAAGGTTGGGAAGATCTGTTTTTTTATTTATTAAAAGAGGGTTGCCTATTAATGTCTTTTGTATGTGATGGCTCCAGTTTGTTTTTCTTAATCTTCCCAATATCCGATGAAGGTTGGGAAGATCTGTTTATTTATTTATTAAAAGAGGGTTGCCTATCACTGTCTTATGTATGTGACGGCTCCAGTTTGTTTTTCTTAATCTTCCCAATATCCAATGAATGTTGTGAAGATCTGTTTATTTATTTATAAAAAAAATGGTTGCCTTTGAATGTCACAAATGTTGAATTTTATTATGACCATGATGAACTGACCTGTTTCAAGCTGACACTTATAATATGATAATAGGTTGGCAACATGCATTGTGAAGAGTTCAATTACAAATGATAAAGATGAAAAATTGAGCATGTTTGCTCCTAGCTACCATTTGTTTATTGCTGAGTGGCAAAACATTATCTATTCTATTATATTATCACCTATGGCAATTACAACTGCTTGGACTTATTGTAGAAAAATGCCACCAAAAAGAGGAAAATGTAACGGGTCCAAAACCACCCAGGAAAATGAGGTTACACAGTCAATCGGCTCAACTGCTCCCTGTGGATTCAACTTGGGCAACTCAGTTGATGCCAATTTATCATTGACTCAAGTGGCCGCTCCAAAAAATCAGCTGGCAGCAGCAATCTTAGACAACAGCATCAGGCCTTGACTCTCAGCAATGCTTCTACAAACAATATCGCATCAAAGGCTGCACCACTGCACCACAGACTTCGATTACCTCTTCTAGTGATTCAAATAGTTGCAATTTGGTAAACACCCGATAATACTTGCATTGTTTTTCAGGTGAGTCGGTGGCAGATACATTTAACAGTAACAACAAATGTTTACTTCTAAATTTACAAGAGGAAAATATTTTATTTCAGATAGAAAATAATGTTATTCAATTAAATCCTCAGTCAACTAGTATTAATTGTAACGGAGACCATTACAAATGTTCCCTAAATTCTCCCCCAAGTTCCTGCAGGCTTCATTAAATAAGGCAATCCAGTATATTAGTCATTTTAGGGTTTACACATGCGCGCAAGTACATGCATATACATAATGACCAGGTCAAATTGTTTACACTTTTAATGCATTTCTTTTAAAAGCAATTTATCAGAAATATTTAAAATGGCTATGTTAAATATATTTGTCAATTTACTCAATTCGTGTCCTTGCACGTGCATGCATGTGCAGATTGACCATGTCATCTTGAGAACACTTTTAAAAGTGTTATTATATACTGATTTTTAAATCATTTCATTTTCAAAAATACACATAAAGATATTTATATTATAAATATATCTAGATATTTTGGCGATATAATGTATATCAGTAAATGAACACAATTTTTGGAAAATGCGGTTGTGCAATGTGACGTAAATGAAAATGTATTACAGTTAATCAAGAAATATGGGAGAAAGGCACTTATGGCTTAGCTAGACATAGGAGATGGTTTTAGAAACATCCCAATGCACCTTCAGACTATCATTTGAACAATCAATATTATTTGATAAATTTTACTCAGTTGTTTGAGGTTTTAAGCATGTCCTTGCAATGGTTTATGTTTAATAAATATCAGGCCACTATCTCAAAATGTCTCTCTATTTAGAAACTTTTAAAGTTTATGTTGGAGAGTATGATTTTCCTCTAAAGAATCAAACTGTCTTGCAGACAACTTGTTTGACTATATATGGAATGAGGTAGATTCTATTCCTAAGGAAAGTAGATTATCTGAAGACATACTCATAGATGATATAAATTTGCTTGTCAAGTGGTCACACCTGGTCGTGCCTTGTTTGAGACTCTTAATAGATTTGACTTGTGTGTCCAAAACACACCATTACATAAAATCAACTGCTAAGGAATATGCTGACATTAAAGCAAGGTAGCTTTTTAAAGATCATTTTTGTAGCAAGTCAATATTTTATCAGGATTAGTGGTATTCTATACAGAAGCTACATTTATATACAGATGCATCAGGTGCTTTGGGTTATGAAGCTGTATATGTTTCAAAATGGTCTGCTAAATCTTAGTTGGATATTTATACAGATTTATGTTAGAGTTTTCCAATCATCTTGCTAGTAGAATTTGGTTTCAGTATTTCAGCTATCAAAATTCTCTTTTTTGCTTAATGCTTTTTAGGATTTATTTACTCAGGGTTTAAACCCGTCCACGATTAATCCACATATTTTGGCCATAAGTTATGTTCCTAAACATTTTTATAGATGACCTTAAATACTCCTTTATGGTGAGGAAAGTTTAAAAAAAAAAAAAAATTGTTGACACTAGTCTTCCAATTACAAAACCCATTCTTAACAAATTAGTATCTGCCTTACATCACACTCTCCAAAAGCAGACTCAAGAACCATACTATCAGCAGTCTTCCTTCTTGCCTTGAATGCTTTTATGAGCTTAGGAGAACTCGTTCATGAATGTAAACAACACATTCAACATTCAAAGACAAGCCATAATGTTCTATGATGATAATTCAGTTTAGATCACACTGAGGTATTCCAAACTATGAATGATAGGCATCCAGTGATACTTACTCTAACAGTCAATAACTTAAATTGCCAATTTTGTCCAGTTCATGCCTTAAAAGCATACATTACTCAGCATAAACACACATCTGGTCCTTTATTCAATTTCAAATCTGATGAACCAGTTAGGCACACTCTGTGGCATCCCAATTGAAACATGCAATAAGTTTTGACTGATCATTTTACTTTGGTGATAGTTTTCGTGTCTGTACTGCTAGAGGCAGCTAACAATGGTTTATCTGAAAATGAAATCCAACAACTTGGTCGTTGGCACTCAAATACAGGTAGACATTACATTAAAATAAATGCCTTCAGGTTTTAAATTCCACACTTGTTATTAAAAATTCCTAAGTAAATGTTCCCCTTATACATGTATACTGCCACCGACTATCGAAAGTCAGAGAAGTCAGCAAATGGCTGTTTCTCTACAGAATTTAATTAGGATCTAATAAACTTTTACATCCATTTCAGTAATTAAACGTATAAATCAAGTCTATGAGGTCAGCAAATGGTTGCTCCGATAAATTGTGAAGTTTTAAAAGCATCACATCAAATAAAATTAATTTCCACATTTTTTGTTAAGAATTCCAAACTAAATGCTCCCCTTATACATGTACAGCCACCGATTATCACAATAGAGAAGTCAGCAAATGGCTGTTTTTCTCTCCACAATTTAATTAGGATCTGACAAACTTTTTACATCCATTTCAGTAATTAAACGTATAAATCAAATCTATGAGGTCAGCAAATGGTTGCTCTGATACAAAATTTTAAAAGCATCACATCAATATGAAACAACAAATTTGAACCTTCCGAGGTCAGTATATAGCTGCTTTAATGAAACAGTAATTTGGTCAGTGATCTTGCAAAGTGTTCGCTATGAAAATTAAGTGCAAGCTCGTTCATTAGATGATCATTTTACTCTTCAAATTGCCCTTAAATTTGCAAGCTAATATACTTGATGACAGCATACAGCTGCTCATAAAATCTATTATTAGACAGTTGAAATTCAGCTTGGAGTTTGATCTTGAGAATTGTGTAAGGTCAGCATATTTCTGTTTACAAAATTGTATCATTGTCATGAGCTTAGAAGTTCAGAAATTTGTGTATGACATCAGCGTTCAGCTGCTTATAAAAACTGGATGTTAGTTGGAGCTCCGCAGAATATTGTGCATAAGGTCAGCATATGGATGTTCATAAAATGTAAATTGTAGAAATGAACTCATGATACTAAGGTTTGTTTCTAAATATTGTTTATGAGGCAGCATATGGCCCCTTCTTTAATCTCGTTAAATGTAAGTTACACACAGGTTAAGTAACCTTTGTCCTTTATATTTTGTTACTTATTCAGATATAACTCGGTGTCTACGTGGTTTTTTTTTTTAATGTTTATACTTATTTAGTCACTACAGGTACATGTTATTCACTACACAATGTTAGTATCTGTTAAAAACACGTTTTTCTACAATTAAAATTGAGCAGCATATAATTCATGAAATGCCTTTCCTTGGGTGGCGCTGCATGCGTCATGCAAGCATTTAGCATGCTGTGTGGCCTCTTTGTTCACTCCACCTTCTTGTTACACAAACTTGGTAATCATTATATAACAATAGCTGGGATAAGCACTAAGTCGCAATATATCATATCTAAGTTGAAACTATTCATTATTTGGCCTTATCCCAGCTATAATTTACATGATTGTGTGTAATATTGTATATTTATGTGCTTTTGTTCACTTTCGTCATTTATCTGGTCAATAAATGACATTTTCACTCAACTCAAGTTCTCGTGTCTTCTCTAGTGTTTGAAGCAACAAGAACAAGCTACGGAAAGGCTTTTCATATTATGAGATTTACTTTTATTAGTGGAAAAGTTGTGGATATAAATACAAATTGTTAGTTTTGAATAGGAATTCATTTTTTCCTAGTTATAAAATGAATCAGCCAAAATTGCTGAGCAATAAAAAGCTATAAGATACATTACCTGTAGGCTTATGTATGTATTATTATTTTTAAAAAAAAGATGTTTAACGTCGCTCTTTTGTTTTTTCCCACTCATATTGAGACGCCACCATTTCAATACTAAGAGCTCAAGTCAAAATGTGATCTGATATCTGTCAAATCTTTCTCTTTTTTGATCTGATTCATCATTAATTAATGTCTTATGTCTAACATGAATAAATTTCATGTACAATTATCTCATTGAAAGAATGTATGAAACGATAAAAAAAGCTTTATACTTTATTTGCATGACATTTTTGGCCAATATGATAAAAATTTAAATGGCACAAATGAGGTACCATATACGTAGTGCAAGAATAAAGATCACTGTCCATAACCAGTTAGGCTAAGAATATCGCCCAAGTAACTTTCAGTTTCTACTTTAAACACTTGGCATTTATTTTAAACAAGGAAGGTAACATGAGATCAAAATGGAATCTAGAAAGAAAGAGGTGAGGTTTCTGATATATCTGAATATAACCTTATATCTTTAAATATCTGTGTTTTTACTTTTGTTGTTGATAAGGCAGGGGATTTAAACATAAGGGGCGTCCTTTGCGACACAATTAATAAAAGCATTTAATTTAAAAAATGAATTATTCTTAAATTTAAATGCAACGAATTAACTGCTCATTTAGAGTAGAATCCATCGCCTTTTAAAAGTAACTTCTAAATTATTGTGCCTTATGACCTTGTGCATAGCAGTCAAAAGACCCATCAAACGCAAAAGTTACTTAAGGTATTTAATGTATAAAGAGTATATTCTGTGCGTAATAGTCTAATGATCCGATTTTTTTCTCAAATCATGGTACCATTTTGAAGATGTTATCAAATATAAATGCTCAACCAAAGGAATTTACAAAATGATCATTTAAGAAATAAGGTATCATTTTTTGAGTTTTATTGAGATGTAAAACGGGTTGGTCACGTGATCAAATCCCATAAAGCCCGAAGGGCTTTATGGAAGATTTGATCATGTGCCAACCCGTTTTACATCTCAATAAAACTCATATAAATGATACCTTATTACTTATATTTACATTTGTGACTTATTCATACTTTAAATTTGCCCGATAGTTACTTTTAACGTGAGAAATGCGTTATTTTTCAAACCCAACGGCATGTATGTAATCCACTAAACGCGCGTCGACCCTTTATGACGTAACACAGAAATATCCCAACGCACATCTATGACCTTTTGACCCCGTACCTGTATTTACACAGTTATAAAAACGCTTGCTTTCAGTAGTGTTATATAAAGGATAACATTTGCAAATGTAAATATTATTCAATTAATTGCATCCTGAATTTTACATTGAAGTTTATGGGCAGCGCATGTTTTTATCAGATATTGTAAAAAGCAATTCAAGCTTCAAACAAATCACTTGGTGAAAATATGCATAAACTCCCTCTTTATTAAACTATGAAATAAGAAACATTATTTACAGCAGGAATTGAAAAATCAAAAATCTTCTTTTCATCAAGGGTAGATAACTCTTCAAAAACGTTTAATGTGCAAAATGACTGTCCCCTTACATGTTATCAGTCTTGTGAATTTTGTTATTTTCACTTTTATTGTTATTATTGCGATGTATTAGTATTATTTAAAATCGTTAAAATTCCTTCATTATACATTGAATACCTTAATAATTCATAGTAATTTTAAATTTTAATTTTACCTTATGATTTTTTTAATGATAAGTGGACAATCTGGTTGAAGAATTTTTAGACCAAAATAAAATTTAATAAAAAAGTGAGAAAAAAATATTGACCTCGATACAGAGTCATATATAAATTAGTTTTCAATAGCATATTATTGTTAAAGTGATATTATAACTCACGTATGGCCACATACTTTAAATAGACTATATGTACGAGGGTTGATCCAAAAGTTCGTGGAATTTCTTTCTAAAATTTTTTCGTGCTTTGATGAAAGCAAACAACAGGCATATTCATAACATAGAGTCATAATGCAACAATATTGGAAAATTTCACCACTTTCGAATAACCAATAAGGTCACACGAGCTTTTTGAAAATATACAGTTGTGAAACCCGGGGGAGACTTCGAAGTAACATCACGTAAGATATGTCACGTCACGTTATAGAAGCAACTCGCCCTAATGCCCAATTTGAATACGTGATTCTACAAAACACTGCCCTTTTCTCCATTTTTTTTTATCTCAGAAAAGCCGGGGTATCCTCTCTGTACTGACTCGGAACAGGAAATTAAGAAAACAACGTTGTAAATGCGTCCAATGATTTTATGTATGAGGATGATGATATATGACGATGACAATGACGTGGAAATATGACTTGAAGTTGACATGGAAATGACGATGACTATTACATTAACGTGGAAATGACGATTTACTTATACTACAAAAAATACAAAGAAAAAATACTAGAAATACAAAATATTTCGAGCAAGTTACCCATGATAACACATCCTAGCAAATAATCATGATGTATTACGTTCTAGAAAATACTTCAATACACAAAACTGTCGTCAAAATGTAAACAAAGAGGCATAACTCTTCTTGACACAAATAATGATTGAAAAACATGGCAGAAAAAAGATTTATCTCCCGTACGTAATAAGTGTGCACATATCCAGCGAAATTACAATATGTATCTCAATATTGTACCTAACTTACTGAGTGCATTATAATTATTAACTCCAACATAGTGCACATGTACTTACAACAATAACTTGATAGCAAGATTAATGAAGGTGCTAAATTTACCGAGATGACAAATATACAGTGTATACAGCTAAATGATTTACATAGAAAAACTCACCAATTAGAAGTTTCCTCCGGTGAAATAACTATCAGTACAAAGAATACTAGCAAATGGCAAACTGGTAACAATTGCGGCACCAAGCCGTACCGCATTCTGCCATGAAAACACGGGCTCTTCACAAAAAATACTGTGCCCCAAAAACGATGACGTCACGTTACACTAATGACCCTAAAAAGTCTAGTTACCGAAATGGCCGTAACACTCTCGAACCAACTTACCTTCATTTTTACTCATATTTCAAAATACTCCCATCTTTGCATTTGATGTTCCAATTTCAGTAGCAATTTCAAGAACAGTAAGGCAGCCGACAACGTCTATTAACGCTTTTAATTTGTCTAGGGGGATATGCTCTTAAAACAGAGCATCCAAAAAGCGACCACACCTTTAATCAACGTCTATAAAAGTTCTTTTTTTTTTAAATTCCTCATTTCACTTGGAAACCAGTAATTAAATGCATTTTCCCCAAGCCTTTGTCAATTATATACGCTTTTATGATAGAGTGATCCCGAAATTTTTTACTTTAAAATATTCATCAAGTGTCTATTTTTTTCATTTGTAATTTTCAACCAATTCCACTTAAAAATGAATAAAATATGAAAAAAGTCCACGAACTTTTGAATCAACCCTCGTAGTTTTTCTATTTCAGTTGCAAATATACAGCTGTATATGATTACATGTATATAGTAAAAACACATATTTACTTAGAAATCCATATTTCATTCATGTGGATGCTGTAAGCACAAGAAGTTTCAAGGTTCATACGAATGCTTACAATTGTAATATAAAGTGTATAGTAAATTAATATTTGAAAGACACGTACAATATCTTTTGGTTTCAAATGCAGGTTAGCATTTGCTGTTGGTCGTTAGCACCACAAAAATTATCTAATTAAATGTTTGAACACCGAGAATCGCAATAAATATATGTTTTTTCGATATGAATGCTTAACCATTATGTGTACATAGAGGATATTCAATGTTTTGTAGTTGAATATTGAATTTATTTCACGAGTGGGACAGGATATTTTGATTTGCACTCGTCAAAATATCAAGAAATCCTGTCTCACGAGCGAAATAAATTCCATATCAACTACAAATCATTGCATTTTCTGTTTATTACATTTTCTTTGAATTTCCCTTTGCCTACGTCTATTTTGTATTAGGAGTCTTCGGCTACATGACGTCATAGTTGAGCAGTTTAGACGTCATAGCTAAATGAAAAACATTATAAACATTGATTTCAGCAACATATTTGGGGAAGTTTTACAGTTTTATTTCTATACAGAATGCTTCATTTACTCGTTTTCTTTCTTATAACAAGTTAACTAAAGGAGTATGTTTTACAACACTCTTGGTGAAGGGAAGGAAAATCAAAGTTTTCCTGCACTTTTGATATTCTTTCACACTGTGATAGGATATCATTTTGCTATCCTTTCACACTGTGACAGGATATGACAGGATATCATTTTGCTAACCTTTCACACTGTGACAGGATATCATTTTGATCACTTTTATTCAATGAATTGTTATGGGTCAGAATAACCCTAAATGCCAGCAAAGATCAATCACACAGTTTAAACTTAACAATAATTTATTTACAGTAATATACAAATCATTAAGTACAAACTTAGCAAAATACATACATCAGAGTGTCCGTTGCTGCACACAATGTCCCAGTGAAAATATATCCCAGGTGTAACTCAATGATGCTCATACGACAAGAGTATATCTATGCATCGAATTGACAGGATATTTATACAGTAATATAAATCTAGAATATTCTAGAAATTGTAAATACATGATATTCCTGGAAAGTTCTGGACATGAATAAAGTTCAAGAATGTTCTAGAAAAAATGACCGAACATGTTGACCACTCTAGAATGTTCAAGAAACTTAATGTTACTAATAATATACATGATGAAATAATACAAATACAACACACCTCACAACACCTCCCCCCTTAAAAAGTTTGAATGTCAATGAAAAAACTTAAATTGTAAAACATATGTACATTAATACAAAAATGTAATTTGTTTATGATACTCTGGACAAGGCATCTGCAATAACATTGTCTTTGCCTTTTATATGCTTAATTGTTATGTTGTATTCTTGTAACAGCAAACTCCATCTAGTCAGTCTTTGATTCTTGTTTGACAATTTATGCAAAAATGTCAAGGGGTTGTGATCCGTATATACAAGAATTGGATGCAAAGTAACATTCAGATAAACATCAAAATGCTGTAAGGCTAACAACAAAGCAAGGCATTCCTTTTCAATGGTGGAATACTTTTGTTGACATTTTGTAAGTTTCTTTGAAAAATAAGAAACAACTCTATCTACCTTATCACTATGTTCTTGAAACAAAGCTGCCCCGATTCCAACATCACTAGCATCAACAGTAAGCTTGAACTGCTTAGAAAAATCTGGAGTTGACAGAACTGGGTTGCTCATAAGGACAGATTTGATTTTATGAAATGATTTTTCACAGTCCTTTGTCCATTCAAAGTTAACCCTCTTTTGTAAAAGATTTGTAAGTGGACTTACAACTGAGGAAAAATTTGGACAAAATTTTCTGTAAAACCCAGCCATGCCCAAAAACCTCATTAACTCTTTCTTGTTTGTAGGAATCGGGAACTTTGCAATAGCTTC